TGATGCTGACCAGGCTATTTGCTGCAAGGAGGCAAATTGCTGGGAGGAAGGGGCAGTGGGAGATTTTTTTTTTTTCCTCCCCAAAAGCTAAGTGCGTCTTATATTTTGGAGTGTCTTATACTCTGAATAATACAGTATTTTCTTGTTATGCTTTTACAATTAACTAATTTTCCCCATAAAATTCTAACAAGTTTTCTTCAACTCTTATTACATATTTATATAGGAAATTACACAAACTATTTCTATCAAAGGAATTAAGTTTGAACCAGGCCCACCAGAATTTAAAGAACTGCACGTTGCTTGGCATGATTTGTCCCATTACCTGAAGTTAAATTTGATTGCTGGCCGTCCTGCTAAATTGTGTCTTCTGGATTGGATAGAACCAGACAAAGTAAGTCAATGGCATATGATAGAATACTAACCAAATGATGCTATGCTAACAATTTTGCGAATCTGTAAAATTTGAAAGTTGCGTGGTTTATTAAGTATGCTTGAAAACTTGATATATTTATTATCTGGTATAAAAGTGAGCACTGCAACAAAAAATGTAATTTGAATTTATATTCATAAATAATTAATGAAATAGCATATGCATGTTATATATTCTACATAATTCCAAATAATAATCTTTTTTTAAGGCTATATCTGTAATTAATGGCAAAGAATTACCACAGGCTCTTATAATCCAGCTCTGTGATCAGTGGAATAATCCATCTGATGAACCTAATGTCAAAATCAAACTTGTAAAAGATAATAAAATAGAGGTAAGTAGAACTTGCTCTTCCCATTACAACTTCCTTATACCATAGAGATTGATTGCCCATATATTGTACTAAAGTTTATTTCCTATGGCATCTTGTTTCTTTCTGCGGAATTATTTCACTTGATAGATAAAACTTCATTGATTAAATCAATTAAGCATATCAAATATACAAACTGATACAAAAATACAATTAGAGCAAAAAACATTGGAACATGTTCATAATAAATCATCTCCAGAATATTGTATTTTACTGGGAAGTCAAGAATATATAGGAAAAAAATGTTATTTAGTAAGGTTTATCAGTATTTTGTCATAAAAAGAATTTTTTTTCCAGATTGTTCCTTCAAATATGCTGTATCAAACAAATGTAACTGGTAGAGCAACCTTTGGAGTTCTTACTATTCATGCTCCTCAGTAAGTGATTAAAATTCTTCCTATTATTCAGAATATACTTAAAATATATATTTAATAGTCCTGCTACGATGGCATAGAAACTTACGTATTTATCTTAAAAATTGTTCTCCCTAATTCTGGATCTGGTGTGTGCTATAAATGGGAAATAAGGATGAGCAGGAATAATACCAGCAATTAAACCCACAAGAAAATCAAGATTCAAAGAAACAAAAATCACATGACTGTAAACATTACAAATTTTGTTTAAAAAGCAAATGTTGCAAAATGCCAGATGTAAAGTCCAGATGAACAGATTGAATGTTAGTCATTGAAAAACCATAAAGGTGGGGTTTGTATATATTTAAATTTGTGTCATGTTAATTTAATATATCAGCTATCATATCCTATAATGAAAAATTTGAAATATTAATTAAATGATATGGTATATGATATATTTATATATACATATATATAAATATGATACCGCTCACAATATTTACATCAATAGCAAGAACAATAAAAATAGACAATTATACTAAAATCACTATTGCAAATTCAATTCAGTACAAAAATCAGTAGTTAAATATCAATACATCTAATTCCGTATAACTATTAAAGAGGTTCACCATTACCACCGGACTCTCAAGTATGGTAGCACAGCCATACCTTTAGGGCTTTCAAAAAGGCCAATAGAGTAGGGGGGATAACCTAAATTCTGGGGAATGACATTTCAAAGGTGGATACCAAGGTGGAAAACGTTCTCTTCCTATCAGATGAAAGTAGACAGGAGCCGTAACATGCCTCTCTTCCAGATCCAATGGGACAGGTAGATATAACTGTGGAGTTGCCCCTGGAAACACAGTTTAAAGGCAGCCCTATGTAGAGCACATGACGGTAATATTTGGGAGGTAATCAGTAAATGAGTGATAGAAGCAATGTGTCGTGGTCCAAGAAATGGTACAAATGGCACCCAACACAAAACTACATAAAGGAATCTGGAATTCAGGAGGATGTCCAGAATGCACACAATGTCTGTTCAGGGCAGTGCCACCTGATTAAGAAAAAGAGATGATAAATCCCTAAAACCAGAAGTCCCCAAAGCCACTGAGTCTTGCTACAGTTAAGCTGAAAGCTGTTGTTCCCAGCTTCCAGTCACAACAACATCACAACATATTTTAGTTTATCATGGACAGAGGTGTTAAGCTGAGTATCATCAGTGTATTGAAGACAGTTACTCCATGGTGATGAATGATCTCACCCATTAGCTTTATGTAGATGTTAAATGGGTGAGAGGAAAGTACCAAATCTCTTGGAATTCCACAAAGCAAGGACCACGAGCTTCAGACGCTGACTGAAACCATCCAGGGAAAAAGGAGGAGAATCAGCACAATATAGTGCCACCTATATACCTAGTCCCTGAAACCAGTCCAAAATAATTCCATGGGTGATGATACCAAAGGCTGCCAAGAGACCAAGAAAAGAAGCCATTCGTGTGCTGTTTGTGAATACATGCCAGTAGCTAAATGTCAAAATTTTAATCACATGACCATGGGGATACTGTGCTAGTTGTAAAAAAAATGGTTGTAAGTCAAAGATTACCGTATATTGGAACTCCTATATTTCTATTTAAAATGTTGAAGCCTTCAGTAGAACTATACTGATGTTTAATTATTATTGTATTTCAGAGGAGAGTACAACTTGCATTTCGAGGCCTCTTATAATGGGAAAGAACTAAGAAGTCCAGTGATCATAATAAATGTTTGGCCTGACCCAGAGAAACCTGTAGATTTTAATATTAAATATGATGAGAGTGCTATCTTCACCGCTGGAAACACTTTTCCTGGTGAGTGCTTTAACATTTTTTTTATTTTCTAAGATAATCATTAGAAAGTTGGAATGCTTTTATTTCTTATTTTTCAACAGAATATTTTTGGCCATCTTTTAAAAGATAGTTTGCTCTATCAATGTCATTTTTAGGTTATAAAATGGCAGTTACTCTATAGCCGTGTTGGTGAACCTATGGCACGTGTGCCAGAAGTGGCATGCAGAGCCACTTCTGCCGGCAAGTGAGAGGTCGCCCGGAAGAGCCCCACTGCACATGCGCACACGCCGCCGTTGCCCGACAGCTGATTGTCGGGTATCTGGCATGCATGCGCGGGGGCAGGGTTGTATGGGAGATGTGCACGCATGCACAGACATGCAGCATGCGTGGGGGTCTAGCGCACATACGCAGAGATGCGCAGTGTGTGTGGGATAATGCACACTTGTGCAGACACATGGTGCGCAGGGGGATCGCGTGTGCATGCACAGGGGGTGGGGGCCAAGCGCGCATTGCCTTCTGGGTGCTGGCACATGAGCACGAGTGCAATTTTCGGCACGGGAGCCAAAAAAGGTTAGCCACTACTGCTCTATAGCTTAACACAGCAATCTGCTGATGTCTTGGTGCTAAATGCCTTTACATTGAACTATCATATGAATAGATCTGAATTTACGCTGCTTAAAACCTTTTTTCTGCTCCACAGGACAAAGTATATTAAGTATGATTGAAAGATTAGTGGTAGGCCTATAGAAAGTAGTGATAATTTTCAAGACCTACATTGAAGCTAAGAACAGTTTATTATCTGATACCAAATCTTTTCAGAGTTTCTGCAAACTCTGAAAAGCAGTGATCTGTAGGGATTAGGAATATTGTTTTTCAATTGATATCTTGCATTATTGGATTGGTGGAATACAAATTACTCTCACATTATATTCCCATTGGAATATGCCTTCATATTCTTTAATGTAATCCTACCAAAGTTGAGATTATTCACGCCTTTTTTATAATAAAGATAATTAGTACCTTTTGGAAGTAAACTTCTATTATTCTTTTCAGTTTTTCAGCAATTCAGTTTCGATTTGCTTCTGTAGATACTCCTCAATGTTCTTAATCTCCAAACCAAAAGAATTTATGCGTTATTTATTTATTGTATTACATGTATTCATTTTATTTATTATATTATTACAGAATTTATTTATTTTATTACTGTATCAATAAAAGATAGTTTCAGTCAAAATGGGGAATCAGTTTCATGATTTGGCTTTGGTCAAAGTGCTGACATCAGTCTTGAAACCTGATTGCATTTTCCTTCCTCTTCACTATAAAAAGTATCTGTCCCATCATCCATGTCCATGGCATTGGAACCAGTGGATGCTTTGGCACCACTGACTCTGTAAACCACTTAGA